TCCATCCATCCATCCATCCATCCATCCATCCATCCATCCATCCATCCATCCATCCATCCATCCATCCATCCATCCATCTATCCATCCATCCATCCATCCATCCATCCATCCATCCATCCATCATCTTTAACCGCTTCTTCTTTGCAGGGTCACGGGGGTCACTGTTGCCCATATCCAGCAGCCACTGTGGGAGAGGTGGGAAACAGCTGGCCATGTCTCCAGTCCATCACAGGGACACATGGAGACAAACGAGACAAACATTCATTCTCTCTATCTCAGAACAATTTATAGTTACCAATCAGCCTAGCATGCATGTTTTTGGTCTGTGGGAGAAACCTGGAGAGAACAGGCAAACTCCACCCAGAAAAGTCCCCGACCGGGATTTGGTCCTGCGACTTTCTCGCTGAGAGGCAACAGCTCTACCAACTGAGCCACCGTGCCGCCCATTTAGATAACTTTTAATATGAAATAGATTGACTCCTAAATTACCATTTCAAATGAGGAAGAAGAGCAGTTTCAGAGAATGGAACAGTACCTGCACAGTACGCGGTGTCACAGATGTTTGGCGTCACAAGCTTGTAGACGTAGAATTGTCCAGGGCAGAGTTTAACCTGGATCAGGAGTTTGGAAGATCTGCAGCAGCTACCAGCCCAGGCAGTACACACCGAACGATCAACGATTTGATTCATCTGCGTGGGATGGGATCCTTCCATCCACATGGGCTCATGGGTTCCACATTTGTTTAATTTTACACATTGCTCTGGAAGCTTAGCGCTGGTTTGCCCCCAGATTATGCGATACCAGCCTTGGAAGTTAATGTTCTTGTCACAGTGAACGGTAGAGCTGACTGAGTTGTCTATTGAACGCCAGTTGTCGTTCAGGTTGGAGTAGCGGACACATGGATCAGCACATGTAGGAGACCCATTTATCGTGAGGCAGTCGAAGCCTGACAGACACTGTTTCCCCCCACAGGAGATAACTTGCTCTTCTTCATGTTCAACATGTAAAAAAAAAAGGAAAGAATCCCATTAAAAAGTTAAAACAACCCAAGACTTGAGATTAAACTAATATGAAGTTCAAACAACAGAACAAACATATCCGGATTCTGCTCAATAATCCAGGTAGAAAAATCTAAAAAAGTGAAGTCAGTTCCTCTGGACTGAATTTTGTTATTGAAATGTTTTGTCTTTTATCCAAAGAACTTCTTCAATCTGAGGAGCTGCAACAAACTCAGTCTTATAAGTAGCACCTTCTCATAGTGGATCAACCAGTTTGTTGATGACAGCCGGAACTAGCTGTTTACGTGATCCAGGAAGACCATCAGCCTAACGACCGATCGTGCCCTGATGGCCACTTGCTATTCACAGGGGGCTGAGTGATACTAGCAATAACATCATTGTAAGAGGGGAACAATTATACATGGAGACCTTAAACAGGGTGGAGGTCTCTGTGTCCAACTGTCCTCCTCTTACAATGCTGTTATTGCTAGTGTCACTCAGCTCCCTGTGAATAGCAAGCGGCCATCAGGGCACTAACGATCAGTTGTCAGGCTGATGGTCCTCCTTTATCATGTGAACAGCTAGTTCTGGCTGTCATCAACAAACTGTTTGATCCACTATGAGAAGGTGATATTTATAAGACTCGGTTTTTTTGCAGCTCCTCAGACTGAAGAAGTCATTTGGATAAAAGACGAAACGTTTCAATAACAAGAATCCGTCCAGAGGACCTGCTTTTTTAGAGCAGACCAAACAGTACAGTTAACGGTGTATTCTGAATCAGCAAAACTGACACTTAGGTTCATGTAGCAAGGAAATATTATTCAACAT